TTTTTTTTAAGTATTCTTTACTAGTCTTTAATATTTTCTATCTAGGCCTCTGACTATTATTTGTGTAATTTTGATAATACTACTCTTATTTTTTTTTTCTATTGCTTTGAGTTTACTGTTTATTTTTTCTCTTTCTTTTGTTTCTGTCTCTTAATTCTTTTTTATTTTTGCTTTTTTAATTATTTGTTATAATTTTACAATGTATTTGTATTACTATTGTTTTTTTTAATTTTGTTTTCTATTTATTTTTGTATTAAAATTTTTTTTTTTTGCAATATGTTTGTTTGCTACTTCAAGTATAACTTCTTCTTTTCTTATTATATATTATTTATTGCATCTACATTGTAACTAATATTAAAATTTTCTTTTAATAATTTATTTATTATTTTTTTCTATTTTAACTGTCTTTGCAACTCTATTTTCAGTCTTTTTGGTTTGCTTTTTTATATAGATATATTGTTCTTGTTAGTTTTTATATTTGATATTTGTTTTGCTATTATTTTCTATTGCATGTTTTAATCATATTTCTGCAATTACTATTTTGTAATTACTATTAGTTAATCTTTCTGTCTTCTTTATTTTGCTTTCTGTAAACCTAAAACAAGCATTTTTAATATTCATATATAGTCTATCCTTGTTGCAATATTTTTATTCAATCATGTGTATATTTTCTTTACTGGATAAAACTTCTGTACAAATCTGCAAACTTTGCTTTTTGAACTAATTAAATATTGGTAATTTTTTATAGCTTGTTGTTTATAAATGTTGTTTGTCTAGTATGTTGTCTATTGTGTGATTAAAGTCTCTAAATATGACTATCAATGTAATAAAGTTTTTAAATTATTTACATCTATATTAATTTGATAATGTTTAATTATAAGACAATGATTTATTATAACTTTCAAAAACTATAAAATAATTTGATATAGCAAATTACTCAAATAACTAAGAAATTTTTTGTGATTATTGGTTTTGACTACCTATAACTAGACTTGGCAAATGTTTTAACATAATCTTAAAAAACATGATTGTTGGATTTTAATTGATTAAAAATGTTTTAATATATTTTAATATATCATGATGTAATTATCCTGATCATAAATTGTGTAATTAATTTATTATTAAATTGTATTTATATAAATATAAAAAATAATTTGTTACAGTAAATAATTATCGATTGTTAAATAACTACTATTAAATAACTATCGTTATGTCTTGTGGAAGACCTTCATTAAAAGAAATTCAGTTAAACTTTACTAAAATTACAGAAAGTAACATGCATGACCAAATAAAATCTCATCAAAAGTATATTTATTGTGAAGAAAATGTGACTGATTTAGTTAGTTGATTAAAGAATTATTTAACAAAGTGCAAAAAGCTTCCAAAAATGTAAAAAATATATTAAAAATTTAAGAATCTGGTTCTATAATCACATTAGATAAGTCAAATGTAGATAGTATTTTAGCAAAAATTTTTTTTTTTGCTGAAATTCCTTTTATGGCAATAGAAAACCCTTTTTGAGAAGAATTTATGAAAGCTGTACAACACTATATTAAAACTATAAATCCATTTTATATTAGCCTCAACTGATGTAATTTGGCTACCAACCTATTAGATACTGAATATAAAGCTAAACAGCAAAGTTTGATATAATTCTAAAGAATGCTACAAACATATATTAGTATTAGATAAATAGTTTAATATTAGATGTGAATCTGTTTTAAACTTTATTTTTTACCTTCTATAGCCAATTTTTTATAATGTAAAGTATTCTGGATCTGAATCACATACTGTAAAGTATATTTATAATGAGTTTAAAACTATTATTGAGCATATTGGCTTATTCAAATTTGCTACTATCATAACAGATAATGCCAGTTTAATGTAAGCAGCTTGGAGGATGTTAAATCATAATTACTTATAATTAATATGTTTAGGTTGTTTTTTTTTTCTTTTTTTTTTTATAAATAATAGTTTTTATTAAATAATTATGCTTTACATATATGCTTAGGTTGTAATGCACATATCAGAAATTTTCTAATTAAAGATATACTTAAGCTTGATTAAGTAGAAAAGCTGATGATCTATATAAAACAAATTATTAATTTTTTTTGATCATATTACCAAACAAAATTAATATTAACTAATCAGCCCAATATCATCACCTTGGTTTAACCTATTGATACATGTTGAAAAATCTGTTTAGATGCTGTTTAGTTTGTTCTAAGATGCAAATTGAGAATTCAGATAACCATTATACAACATGAAATTAACAAAAAAATTGCAAATAATTTTAAGATCAAATTTTTAATAATTTACTATAGAAAGAGTTAAAAAAACTAGCTTCTTTTCTAGTATTCTTTGTTTAACTTATACAATTAGTTAAGTCTAACAACTTTTTATTTTCATGGATTTATACAGAATGGTAACTGGTTTGGGAATAAATTAATTTGTATGATTTAAAGCTTGATTTTAAAGTAAAGATTATTGGATTGATTAATAAATAATTTGAATTTGTATTTTATCCTGCAATGGTGATTGCAAATCTTTTAAATCCAAAGTATTTTATTTTATTTTTTTATAATATATTTATTTATTATTTATTTTGTTATTTTAAATATTTCTTTGTTTAGAATTCATGGAAAATCACTAAAAAAAAACAATCTTAAAAACATTATTGTTCTGTACATTAAGAATGTTTATATATTTGAAATTGAGCATATATAAATATTACAAATTTTTTATTAAAATTATTAAATTACTATTCTAATTTTTTTTTTTAAGATTTATAAAGTAATTCAAAAGTATATTGTAAAAACTGATGAATTCTCTAGGCTATTAATTTGGGCATCAATTGAGTATTCAAGTCCTATTAGCTGATAAACATCTAATTTTTTAATCAAATTTCCTGTTATAGTTGAACTCACCTGTCAAGTTCTCTCATTGCCAGCATCTTTTGCTATTGCAGAATGTTGTTGATCTAATTTTAGATTTATTCACAATAAATATTATGCATGCTTGGACAATGATTGAGTAAAAAAACTTATAACTGTCTATCAAAATCTAAAAATTCAAAAAGAAATCAAAAATGACAACTGGTTTGATGATGACTATACTAATGATAATTAGTTTGATATTTTTATTATATCATATTGCTTCTGATCTTGAAGCAATTTATTTTTAATAATCTAATTGCATATACATTGTATACTTTGAACTTTTATGTAATACATATCAAAAAATGTAGCATTGAACACAAGAGGTTAACTTGACCAATAGGCAAATAATGCATTTACAAAATGTAATAATTTAATATTGATAAATTATATATATATAAGCAAATAAATTAAATCGGCCAAAATGTATTGCTTATAACTCTTATAAGTATTTTTTACATATAATGGTAATATTTGAATATACATTTTTTTGCTGAAATTGAAATTAGCCAATCAGAAGCGGTAATTTCAGTTTCTGCCTAAATTTCGACAATCAATGTTTTAAAAAATTTTTTAAAACAATAAAAAAAGTTTAAAAAACTGTTTAAAACGTTTTTTTACCATCCCTACTTATAACTCATCAAAAAAGCAGCCAGATAATGTTAGAACTCAAAAAATAAAATAAAAAATATTCTTATATATATAGAAACTTAAAGTTTATCAGCAAGACTGCCAAAACAAAAAATAATTATTTTAAAAACTTCCAATTGGCCAGATTTGTTTCGAATTCAAACTGAAATTTCAAATTCCGATCAGCTTTGAGTTTATATTTAAAAAAAATAACCAGATAATATCAACATTAAATTAAGTAAATGTTTTGGTATATATTAAATAACAATCCTTTTAATAAAAATATTTGCATCGCTAAGTAAAAAATTATAAGTGGTTAAAATTAGTTGGTAATAAACTTTTGTTTTTCGAATAATCTTGCTTTTTTTGATATTTTTAGCCAACTTTAAATACAACTATTACTATATTATATCTACTTTATATGCTAAAACCTTCTCTAGCCCATAATTCTTAAAAACTTTTTAGTTTGCGAAGTATAAATGTTTGCCAAAAAATTATGTTATACTTTCAAGTCAACTTCTAATAAAAAGTTTTGGTTCGTTTGCTGCATTTGACACTATATTCGTTGTTTCGCTTGTTAATTTGTCAGTTGTTTAGTCATTTCTTATTATATTATTTTTTTGTCAGATGCTTTTTTTGCATGATTGTTACATACTAAGTTACTTCATTTGTTACTTCGTCGAATTGCCCTGTCATTATTACAGGACCGGTCATGTAACTGTCTATTAAATAAAGGACTTGCGTAAATATCTTGCAGATAAAATCATGTGATTTTCTTTTCAGTTAATTCTTGATTTTTTACAAAATTGCCACATCCAATATAAAAATTGAGTCTCCACTTTACACCTTTTTGGATCCGAAATGTAAATTCATGTTGAATGTTTAGGGCAATTGCAAGTACCTAGAAAAGACGAAATTGCTGTTTATTTGACAATTGTACGCCGTTTCAGTAAATTCATAACTATATAGTTAGAATCTCCAGTGTATCCAGACATTGTTTTATGCATCGTAATAGTAAGCGAACGAAAGCTATTGTCTAGTCCCACCCATTGTCATCTTATTATTCTCGTTCTTCCTCTTGTTAATGCTGTAATTTCTCCACACCTCTTACCTGTATTGTCCCGATCGTCTTGCCACATTACATCACTCCGGACTTACGATGATGGCCGTTTATCTAGTGCATATATCTCTTATTATAATCAATTTTATTTCCAGCACATTATTATAATACACTACAAACTGCACGAATCCTTAATTGGAATTATGATTAACACCTAAATTTATAAACAATACAACATTAACTTATAAATCAAATACTAGGACATTTTTAATTTGATGTGAACGTTGATTTTGAAGTCCAGATACCATTGAATCATTTCCAAGAGCATCGTTGAGAATTCACCAAATTTCAAGGACATCCCCCAACATATAATTATGAACACACAATCTTTTCCATTCTATAGCAGCAATCGATGGCTAGAAACCGATATTGCAGACGTAACAAACCCCCTCTATTCTCTGGCCAAAAATTCACGGCTTTTAAAATTCATAATTACACAGCATGACAGAGAGTTAAGAGTAGATTTGATTCCCTGTAAAGAATTTTATTCGTTATTTGCACGCCTACAAAATATTATTAAAGATAAATCAGTCGATAATCATTTCAAACATTCGTCATCTGACAGCAGTAAATCAGTATTACCAAAAAATACATGTATAAATTATCATAAAGGATATAGGTTAATGGAAGGTTTAGTCGAAAATATGATTCTAATACTTTATCATACGCCACGAGGTTCACCAACAACGCCACCGGACAAATGTACACGAGACATTTATTATCTTTACAGGGATTGGCCAGGTTTAGATGAGATCAATAAAAATGATCCTATACTTTCATATGATCCCTTAGACCCAATGCTAGTTCAAGCCGTTTATAAAGAGTTGAAAGACGTAGTCGATAATTTGGTGCAATCAGTCAATGGAAATAATGAAGAAACGAAATATTTGGAAACGAAATTAGTATACTATTTGGAAAGATATGATAAAATTTTGAATCCCGATGATTGCAAAACCGTGATTAAAAGAAAATATGATGATGGTGACAAAGATGAAAGTGTCTCTGGTTCAAATGGTATGCATTTAAAGCTCGTTAATTTTAAGAACTTACAGTAATCGTTAAAGTAATGGATTTTAAAAATCATTTTATTCAAAACAAGCATAATTAATGAATTATTCTATTAGTACAAAATTACTTTTTCGATTGGCTGAATATATTGCAAAAGACCGCCTTGTGTGCCCGAACTAGTTTTAACTGGGTTCAGTATATTGTATTATATGACAAATATAGTATTTATATAATGCCTAAATGCCAGGGCATAAATCAGATTTTTCTTCTGAATTGGAACAGTTTACACTTCACGAAAAGGTAGACAAGGCGGACTTTTACACATAAATCCTAATACATATGTGCTGAACTTTTTCTTTGTAGAAAGCACGTCGCAACTTGGTCACCCTCATCGTCGTCGTCGTCGTGGTCGAAAATAAAGCAAGTGTTATAAGAATTCTTTGGTCACCTTTCTGAAATAAGCATTTAAATAGAGTATAACGATAAAGATATGTGGCTTTGCAATTTTTTTTTTGGGCATTTTCTGAATTAGATTATGAGAATATAGACTAGATTCAAAATGTGGACATTTATCAAGAGTATATTTATAGAGGGGTTGACTGTAATTCTTAATGTGTAACGACATGTAAACATTGTTTCCACAATACCATTTTGGAGCAATTTCACACTTTTATATTTTTGGCATGCTGTATATATCCATATTCTTGTTTTTCTGTACAGATAGGAATATCTATTTTCCATAGTTCTTCTGTGGGAGATTATTACAACGAGTGTCATTTTTTAATGAGACCATGTCTTTTAATATCACCTAAAACAAGACGATTCTTTAAAATGCAATAAATTGGGGTCGTTTGAAGCCTGGCACCTTACGAAATTACCCGACAGGTGTCCCGGATTAGTCCGAACAAACCGACAAAGAAAATATAAAAAATAGTTGCCTTGGTGCACTAGGTAAAGTGTCGGCAAAGGATATATCTATTACCATCCTAGCCTATGTCAAACCTTAACCCTAATATTGATTAAAAATTGAAAAACCGGAATGTGCCAGGCCTGAATTTCAACCATCAAATATGGTAAATCTTACGTTTAAGAGTACAAAACAAAAAAAAAGATAGGGAATTGATTTACAAAAATTCCACTGCCCAATCAAAATCAAAAGATTAAGTGTAACACAAAAAAGAAAGACTCACATATGGAATTGCTTTCAACGCATTGACTAAAAGTATTCGTTTACCCTCAAAATTTTAGGGTGCATGCATATAAATTACATACCGGGTTGGTGAAAAGTAACTGAACAGCGACCCTTTTTACTATCTCCGCTAATATTGAATTTCTATAATTATTTATATCTACTGTCACGGGGCAAAAGTGACATTTCCGAAATCGGTATGAAGATCACCAAACCGGAACAATGATCATGATTAGCGAGAAGGAGAAATACGCGTACGATCTACAAGGCTTAGATAGTACTGCTAGAAGGTTCTAGTAATAATAGTGTAAAAGAAGGGATAGAGAAGGTTCAGGAAGAAATAAAGAAACCTGAATGTATAAGGAAGAAAATGTAAGGATTAGCTTGATTAACTATTTAGAAAAAGTAGTACTTACATGATCTCAAAGCCTCTTATGTTGCTTGATAAATTAAAAGTTATAAAAGAGTTGTAGTTCCATCTTGAGTAGAAGAGAAAGAAATGAAAATAAATATCATTAAAATTTATGTCTTGCATAAAAAATAAATTAAACTTGATATAAACTCTTACAAAAGTTTTAAACATAATTGCTAAGTTATCATATTTATGTCTCTGATGATTTCTCTTATTATAAACTTTAATATTTCTTTTTATTGTAAAGATAATAAACTATTTACCCTATAACAGTCAGGGATATTTCCATATATAGTGATGATCTGCAATAATTGACATTACAAAAATTTTCTAAAACTAATGAATAAACTTGAATTTGATTGGTTACAATTTTTTTTTATAATACATGAAAAGAATTAATAGATAAGAGATTCTCTTTGAAAATAAACCTACCAAGAATTAGACTCAGGTAGATCTTATTAATCAAATGCAGTCTTTTCAAATAGCAAGACAACTTATAATAAACTCAAAGCATATATTAAAATTTTTCCTTTTCACAATGTAATTTTAGCTGTAACTATACCTGTAGTTTATTTTGACTTTCAAAAGTAGTGAAATGTATTAGATTTAGGTTTTGTATATGCACTTTTACATTATTAAAAGTTTTATTTATTCTGAATACATAATAACTAGTAATTGTGAATTATTAACAAAAATTAAAGCTGATTCTTTTCTCAATTAGCATTACAGACAAATTACTGTCAAACCTTCAAAAACTGAAGTATGATAAACAGTTTCTGCATTAGTATTGAGAGGTTATTAGGTTTGAAGACATTATAAATTATATATTTAGATTTATATGACAGAAACATGCCTGGTAGATTCATTTTTATCAGAATTAACAGATTATTAATTTAACATAATTGGATTTGGGAGGTTCAACAGTATAATTAAATCATTTAATATGAAATTAGTGAAAGTTAAGTTCTAAGTAATGCAGTAGTATATTTTTTTGTTTTTTACTAAAATGTCTTTTGTATTTTTTAACTAAAAAAAATATGTTTTATTTCAAGTTTGAATAACATTAAGAATTAACCAAAAACTTTTGTTTGATTATCTTGTTAGTAATTTTAAGTTGTTGTGATTATTAAAAGCTAATTATTTATTATTAATTTTATATATTTATTTAATTTTCTAGTTCTATTTTATTTTCAGGTTCATTTTGATCATTATGCAAGTTTCTAATACTTTGCAATATTTCTAGTAATTGTTTATAAGGTTTTTGCTATAATCTGCAGTACTTTGAATAGTCTAAAATGTTAAAAGAATCTAACAATAAATTAATAATTGTTATAAGTTCTTTTTTCTTCATATTTTCTTTATTCATAACTGCTTCTTCCTCTTGAGCAGTAATAGGTATTGGTCAAGGTAAAGAGCCTGGTTTGTTATTCTCAAAAGTCTTATTAATAAATGCTATCCTCTCTTACAAGTTAACTTGCTAAAATTTTTTAGTTGTTTACTAAGTAAATATTCCTTTCTAAGACTTATAAATGTGTGATTATTATTTTGAGAACTTAAAAACCTAGTTTTTTATAATTGAATCCAAAATCATTATAATTTTGAAGCATAATTTGGATATGCTCAGTTTTCTGATGATTCATTATTAGTATACTTATTATATTAAATAATATGTGATGTAGCTAATTAAAATTTTGAAAGTATGAACTATAAATATAAACATAATCTTGTTTTTATTTTAAATTTAAATACATTTTATTAATTTTTATGAACTTTGTACAATTATGCACTGCTATTTTTTAGTGTTTTGTGAAGGTATAGGTGAAATTAAAGCCTTTAGGGACTTATTGTTTTCTTTGAGAATGGTATCAAGGCTTTGGTGCTGGTTACTATAACCTGCACAGGTCGAATGAATGAATAAAGGGTGAATAATAGGTAAATAACAGAAAAAAAAAACTGCCATTATTCTACCCTATATCTGCCAAATAATGGCAGCATAACAGTAGCATAACAGCAGAATAACAGTAAAATAACAGGAGGTTTGT